ACACCACACACAATTATCTTAAGATGAGGCCATGGTGACCAATTCCAGATGACTACTGGGAGAAAGTAAACTGGAAGAAAAGGGGGAGGATTGGGTTGGATTTCCTCTGCTTGAAGTTTTAAAACTTTCCACTGTGATATAAAAAGCCCACGAGCATGTGGAAACATGGGTTTGGAGTGCCAGCAGAGGACAGGGGCAGCCAGGAGGTATAGAGAGCTCAAAGCAAGGGACTCTCTGCTGCTTTTCCACAGCTCCCCGCAGCGGTGCCACCCCGCCGTGCTAGCAGTGCAGGCCTCCCTCAGAGGCTCCTCACTGCTGCCAGAACAAAGGCTACCTGTGCTCGGGCCAGGAGGCTGCAGGATGGCCCCTCAGGGAACTCCAGATAAGAATTTGCTGACATTGGTCAGTGTGGCCTCACAGCCCTGACATTCCGGATTTAACAGCTAGGGCCCCTGACACACAGTACCGTGATCTTGTGGTGTATGTGGTCCCCCACCCACCCCACCCCAGTTGCAGCGTCTGACAGCGTGCAACCCCCAGAAGACCTTCTCTCAGAGTTTTGGCTCAGTAGTTGCACCAGTTGCAACATCAGAGGCGTGCTGAGGTTTCTAAGGCCATTTTACCTGCTGGCTGATGGAAATCCTGGGTCTCATGCTTCTTCCCAACCGCATCTCCCTGGGTTCTCTTCTTTCATAATGGCTGTCTTCCCCTTTGGCTGACGTCAGACTTCTGCTGCCTCCTGTAAATTTCCTAATTGCTTTTTCTTCTGCCTCAACAATGGAAAAGAAAACTTTTGATACGTCATATTTCACAAGGCTGGAAAAGGAAGCAGTCCCAGAGCAGCCCGAAGGAGACTTTCCTCGTTAAGAGCTGCATGTGGCTCCAACCGCCACGTCAGGAGCCTGGTGGCACAGAGACAACTGAGTTGGGACTTGGGGAATGCGCATTCGTTAAAAATTAAATTTTATTTTCATGTGTACGGTGTTCTGTATCTATGCACCACATTCGTGCCTGGTGCCCATGGGGACCAAAAGCATCGGCTCTCACGGAACTGGAGTTACAGGTAACTGTGAGCCACCATGTGGGCGCTGGGAACTGTCCTTCCGAACGGCAGCCACCTGAACTAAGCCATCGCTCTACGCCACAGGAATGAACATTCATCTCCAGCCTCCTCTGTGCTCTGTCCCTCCACCTTCTTGCACATTCCGTCTTGAAGCCACAACAGGAGTTTTGTCTCTGTTTGAGGTGCACTCTGTCCAGGCTCTGGCTAGCACTCAAATGCAGGGCCGTAGTGGCTCTTTTCCAGTGGCTGCACCAAGGGAAGGGAGAGGCACCTTGCATCAGCAGGAAAGAGGAGCCCATGACAGACTCTTGTAGCTGGAGTGTAGACACTGATGCCTGCCGGGAAGACAGTTTGGGTTTGTAGAATAATAACCGAGCTAAGGATGTGGCTTCTCTAGCTTGACTAGGCTCTGGGTTCCACCCCTAGCACCTCATAAACCTGGTGTATGCCACATCCTGTAATCCTGGCACCAGGGAGGTGGAGACAGGAGGGCCAGACCCTCAAGAAATTGCATTCTCAGAACAGTGCTGGTTTCCAGAAGGACTGTCCTGATTTGCAGTGGCAAGCGTCACTTCTCTCAAGCCATGGGGGTGTACGATTTGGCCATGAAATCTGTTGGTACTAAGTGTTCTTATTATACCACTTCAGGAGGCACTCGTTGTTTTGTGCTGAAAATGTCTAGGGAAGAAGAGGCCAGGTGTGCGTGTGTGTGTAAACGGTTTGTGTGGTGTTGGAGAATTCGCCTTGAGCTTCAGTCTGCTTCCTAGCGAGTACCAAGAGGCTCGCCCACCTCTGGCTGATTCTGAAGCACACTCACTACGGTCGCTTTCCTCTGATTGCTTGCCGAATTGGTCTGCCCTCCTAGGTGAGGGCACAAAGCCGTGCAGAAGATGACAGACATGCTGGGTCACTCCACTGACCAACATGCACACAGCCTCTGTCACGTAGCTTAATCTTTCTTGTGAACACCTATGGGGCTGCGGGGGAAAATAAGCTTCCCCAAGTGAGGAAGTAAGTGGGGGGTAGAGGGTAGCTGGAGGCTCCCTGGCTGCCGAAGATGAGGGGTGGGGGGTGGGTTTGCTGCTGGACCTGGAGTGACATGTTAGCTTTTTACACCACAATGAACTATTTTAAGGTGTGAATCCAAGTGTGTAATAACAGACCTAGCAATCAATCACCTACTGTTTGTCTCCTAAAAAGTTATGTATTACAGCTCCACCAGGCGGCCGCCGGTAGCGGGGATGAGAGCTGGAGGGCTGGAGGGCAGAGCTGTTCGGGGAATTTCTTTGTTACACAAGAGCGGAGGACATCCACATTCAGTAAAGAAGGGAGAGTGTTTCGGGCTGTGCAGATATCAGCAGACTCTCATACCCACAGCACACCTCAAACGCCACCGTGAGCAGTTTGCTTCGGTGCCCTGCTGGTTTTTGGAATGTTCCTCTCGTTCTGCTGTTCCTGTTTGGTCCTGGGGAGACAGACAGTGGATCTTTAAGTCCGAGGATGTGTTATGGCTTGTGGTTATACCCCAGAGTGGTGTGACTCCGAGCCCAGCACCTCAGGGAAGCAGGCAAGGATGCGCTAAGCTGGCTTCAGCTTTAGGCTCTACTCCACACCTGGTGTCCCTTTTCTACCCTGTACTGACAGTAGGAACTGGAATAAGGCAGTCTTCATCCTTCCTCACCTACTTACTTAGCACAGATCTGATAACAAAGTTCATACCCAGCCTAACTGGACAATCTGACTAGCACATGCCAAACCAAACACGTGCCGCTGAGAGAGTAAAACAGAACAGAACCCAGGCAGCTACTAGATCACCAGAAAGTAAAATCCAGTTTGGTTTTGGTTCTATTCCCATCTGAGTTTAACACAAAAATAAATAAATTTACCACCTCCCCCATTGCTTTTGTTTATTTACCTATCTTAAAAGGCTTTATTAACATACAATCTGTGCAGCATACAGTTTGCCCAACTAAAGTGTACCATCCGGTGCTTCTCACTGTGTGCAACCCCTTTAGCAGATCCAGATGTTCACAGTTTCAGTTAGCATGTACTTGCAATTTAATTGATTGTATTTTGTCATTGAAGACACCGTTTTGGAAAAACCATGACCCCAAATTGATCCCAGCTTTTAAGTACAAGACTTAGGAAATAGTGGCCAGCCATGGGCCTTAATCCATTTGGTTTCTTCTTTGCCTCTTAACAGTACCACTGTTTGTATTTCGTCTCCTTTAAAAAAACAGCCAGTTCATCATTTTAAATTAGCCGAGAATGAGGATCATCACATGTTGGCTCCTCCCACCCTTTCCAAGCCTGTCTCTGTGTTCTGTGACATCTCCTGGTTTGGGCTGCCTCCCTCGCGTGGTGCCGACAAGATGGGGTCTGTGTTGGCTGGGTGATTCAAGGCTGCTGTTAGCTTGGAGCATTAACTCCCACTGTGAGGTGGACTTCGATCTAAGAGTTGTTTTTTTTTGTTTGCTTGTTCTCTCTGTGAGAAATTGATGTGAAAACAAAGTCTTTGATTTTAACAGCTCCTCTGTCCTGCTGCACACCCACCTGAGTTGTCATGTGAGGAACGTTGTAGCTGGTTACTATGGAGTTAACACTAAATAAAGGATTGCAACTCAAAATGGAAGTGAGGTAGAATTGCCAGTTTGTTAAAGAGGTCAAAGGTCAGTTTCAGACGTGGGCACAGATTATTCCTGTAAGAGGAATGACTGACTACTTTGGGCAAAAATTTCAAGGCAAGGGCTGGAGAGATGGCTCAGTATGTAAACTTCTTGCTGGGCATACAAGGAGTTCAAAGACCGGTACCCACTGCTGGGCGTGGCCACACATGAGGAAGGCATGGCTTTAGGCACACTCATAAACTGAGGAGGGCCGCAGGGGCCTCCTGAATACCAGCATAGCCCAAGGTTTGATGAGAGACTCTGTCTCAAGGGAATAGAGTGGAGAGGGATCGATGTCCTCTCTAGCCTCTGCGTGTGTGCACAGCATGCACAGCTGCACACCCTAGTGCACATAGAACACACTCATTCTTCACCTCTGGATGAGATGAAGGTGTCGGGGATGGTGTTAGGTCACCTCTCCCAGTTTTAAATGTTGTGTGGTACAGGGACCAGCCTGTTCCCACGGCTCCGTGACCGTAGTTCTGTGCGTTTGTCCATCTTCTGCAGTGAAATTTTATTACCTGCACAGCACATACATTTTTGAAAGATTTAGTTATAATGGAAAACATTTAATTTGCTTTGATAACATTTTTAAAATTTGCCAGTGGTGTCTCTGTCAAATAAGGATTTGGGGTGGTTTTCCGAGACGGAACAAGAGTGGATATAAATAGAATTGGGGTCATTTATCAGTATCTATTATTTTGTTTCATTAACTGAATTAATGTCTAAGCATTTAGCCCAAGGAGTATATGCAGCTCTATTTTATTAATGACTTAGCCTTAATCCGTTCATCCTCTTAGCATGCAGTAAGTACAAAGTAGTTAGGATTTCTGCAGTCATCTACTTCCCATGGAGGACTTACATAACAAAATTAATATACCCTCATTCTTTCTTTTCTCTTTGCTCTTTCCCGGGTATTTATCAAGGTAGCTTCCACTCCCCTCCCACCCCCACCACTGTCTAATCTGGAGCTAATGAATTCTGTATTCTGAAAAAGGATATAGCCAAGTGGTCCAGCGCTTGACAAGAACTGGAAGGTCCTGCAGAATTGCAAAACAGAAAACAGAAGGAAAGCCATTGGTTTAAATAAGGTCACAGTTGCTTTTGTAATGATTATGAGAGAAGAAACTCCTAGTAATTGCAGGGCTCTTTAGAGTCATTGTATGCAGGGAAGCAGCCAAGGCTCTGGGTCAGTCTGGTTATCTCACTAAATAAACTGGCTAGTGTGTTGGGTCTGTGCCTTCCATGGAGACACTGTGTGATTTATTTAGATATCCTTGGGACAGAAGATGCCGTTGTGGAAGCGACTTCCAGCGACTCTGTGAGGTTTTACCCCTGGACCATCGATAACAAGTACTATTCTGCAGAGGTCAACCTGTGCGTGGTGCCAACCAAGTTCCTGGTCACTGCCGAGATCGCCGAGTCAGTCCAAGCATTTGTAGTTTACTTTGACAGCACACAGGTAAGCTCTGGTTTCCCGTGACACCTTCAGTCAGACATTCTCATAGCTTTCTGCTTCTCCTCTGTGTTCTCCAAGTTCCTCAATGTATCTCTCCGTTTTTGTTCGTTTCTGCCTCCCCCCTCCCCTCCCCCCATCCCCCCACATAGAAATCAGGTCTTGACAGCGTCTCCTCATGGCTTCCTCTGGCAGAAGCATGGCTACCCGAGGTGATGATTCTGGTCTGTGACAGAGTGTGTGAAGATGGTAAGACTTCCCTGCAGATTTACCTTCCCATGAAGACAGGTCCAACCATGACCTGCACTCACCATGTTACTCGTGAAAATACCACAGTAATTACGTTAGTTGTTTTCAGCATACCTTGAGGCCGAGGTCCTTTCCATTCTGTAGCTTTATCTTCGATACCTTTAGAATGGCACTGACATGGGGAGGAGGCGTTGAGGTCTGTGAGGGTGTTGACGTTAGCTTTACTTAACATTCTTTCACATGATGTTTTAGGAATAAACCGACAGCAGGCTCAAGAGTGGTGCATCAAACATGGCTTCGAGCTGGTGGAGCTCAACCCAGAGGAGCTGCCAGAGGAGGACGGTGAGTGCTCCTGTCTGGAGGAAGCAGCATTTGGTGGAGGTCTAAGATTCTGGTCTAACCTAGGGTGATCACAGCAAGAACCTAGAAATACTAGTTTTCTCCGGCAGTTTGAAAAGCTTTGAGCAGAACCCATTGCTATGATCCTCCCAGCTCTTGGCATAGTCTGTTGGGTGGACTCCACTGCACATTTGAGAACTTTGGAAAACGCACGTGTGTGCTTAAATAGATGAAAGTAAGAGATCGCTGCTGAAAATCATTGTCATCTCCCTGGTTTCTCTCCACTGACAGCCAAGGGTGGTGAGACCTCTGTGTGTGTGTGTCTGTGTGTGTGTCTGTGTGTGTCTGTGTGTGTGGTTTATGTTACTCTTTTTAAATTCATAGTGAGCTAAGGCTGAATTTCGAGAAACCTCAAGAGGAATGCCAGACCTATTGACACCCAAGCCAAAAATAACCCCAGAGCCTCCCACTCCCCTCCCCCAGGGCAGCTGTGTGTCGCCTGCCTTCTGTTCCACAGCCATCTGGACCTCTGGTTTCTTTTCTTTCTTTTCTTGGCAAGATTATTTTTTCATTTAATGTTTGAATGTTAGGCTGTATATATATGTCTGTGCACTGTGCATGTGCCTGGTGCCTGAGGAGGCTGGAAGAGGGCGTCAGGTCCCCTGGAACTGGGGTTACAGATGGTGTGAGGTACCATGTTGATACTGGAAATCATACTTCAGACCTTTGAAGGAGCTGCCAGTTCTCTTAACGGCTGAGCCATCTTCCCAGCCCATCTTTTCTTTGGGGGGAGGGTCTATTGAAAAGAAAAATTCTCTCTCTGTGTGTGTGTGTGTGTGTGTGTGTGTGTGTGTGTGTGTGTATGTATGTATGTGTGTATTGTATATGTATGTGAGTACCTCCAAGGCCAGAAGAGGGCATCATCCCTTGGAACTGCAGTGAGCCACCTAACGTGGGTTTGGGAATTAAACCTCTGCAAAAGCAGCAAGCATTGTAACCACTGAGCTATCTCTCCAGCCCCAAGATTAGTGTTTTTAGTGCTCTCCTCTGGTTGTTTAATAAGAACTTGCATTTTCTGGAGATTGTGAGTAGATTCCATGGGTGAAGTGATGGAGATAGCTTGATCACACAACTCCCTTCTGTCCTGACTGTTCTTATCAGGAGCCCTGTATTTGCTTTATTCATTTATTGCTATACATAGTACATTATGAAGCAACAGCTAATAAACAAGAAAATTAAACCAAGTTATTTGACAGCGTGGCTTCAGGTACATATAGGCGCTATGTGAGTGTGTAGGTATATCTGGGTGTGTACACAGATCTGTGTGTTTCTTTCCCCGGCAGATGACTTCCCTGAGTCCACAGGAGTGAAGCGGATTGTGCAAGCATTGAATGCCAATGTCTGGTCCAACGTCGTGATGAAGAATGGTGAGTAACTAGACGCTGTCGCTCTTCCCCTGTAACGTGTTTTAGATTATCTGGGTATATGTGGAACCATTAGGAGACTGGAATTATTGTCCCAATTCTCAAGTCTTCGGTTGAAGGAAGAGCCAGGTGTTTCGTGTGTGTTGAGTAGGTAATTTAGTGAGCACGCGAGTGTTGCAGTAGGCCTCACATTGTCTTTGGCTTTATAAGACCTAAAATTTTAAGATACGAGCTTTATCATTAAAGAGCTCGCTTGTCCAGCTGTGGGATTCTCTGTCTTTGCCCTCTCTGGGCTCTCTGTGTGAGTGGGGTTTGTGTGCACTTTTCAGATGCCAGGTTGGCGAGCACGGTGGTGTAGTGAACACAGTCACATCTGCAGCTGTCGCGTTAATCTTGATGCAGAGAGAGCTTCCAGGAGAGCATGGGCTCTCGTACCATTCTTCATGGGATGGTCAAAATTCAAAGGGGAGAATGCTTAGCTGGAGGAGGCATGGCTCCAAGAGCGAGGGATTTATGTTATAAAGTCCCTAGGCGAGTCTCACACAGCAGGGGAGCTCCCTTAGGTTTCAGAACACCAGACAGGAGATGTGGGCTTTCTCCTGTAGTAAGCAGGTGGGATCTCCGTAGGTTGACATTAGGGTGGTGTGTGGGAGGCAGAAGTGGAGCCCCAGGTCAGAGAGACCTGAGCTGTTGCAGCCCTGTGGGGTGTGATGGCGGTGACTATGAGGTGGAAGGCTAGGTTTGACCTGTAGTCTGTAGTTGGCTGATGCCGGCTTTTGGAGCCTGCATTAGATTGCTCAGTGTTCGGGAACAAGTCCACAGACTCGATGACTTAGACTGTGGGGATTTATTAAAAGGTCAGAGTCCTCCCCTTGAGGTGCCAGGGCCACCTCCCTCCAGAGATGCTGGATTGCCTGTCGTAGTTCTGGCTTCTGTAGTTCCTTGACTGAGACACTGTTACTTTTAATCTTTCCATGGTTTCTTCCTGTGCGCATGTCTTTGTTCATATCTCTCCTCCTATAAGGCTAGTAGTGGCATTAAATTAGGGCCCACCCTATGGCCACATGACCTGTATTCATTTCCCTGTTTCCAGATGACAGTACACTTCACCGTATTAGAGGTTAGGACTTAGCTTTGTGGTTTGGGGACTGCAGTTCAGTCAAGAGTGTAGTGCCTGAACAAGTGTGCTGTGTTAGGTGAAGCACTGCAGAAGGGAACGAGGAAACCTGTGTGTTACAGTCGGTCTAGCCTGTCTTCCCTGAGAAAGGGCAGGTGAGTGGCCAGCTTGGTGGGTGCAGAAGGCCTCATCTCAGTTGTTAGGATGCTTGACCCTGACCTCTCATCTAACCTTGTGCTTGGCAAAGCCCTTTCTTGCACAATAAGGAAATTTTTTCTCTTTCCTTACCCTTTCTTCTTCACTCTCCCCACTTTCATGTTAGGGAGAATCTGATCTAACTGATGGGCCCTTTCCATTCATCCATGCTCATTCATTCCTTCATCACTTCTCTGTTGAACATTTGTCATAGCTAGCTACTGCTTCAGACAGTGTACAGTGTAACACTAAGTTTAAGCTATGGTCCATAAACCAGATCAATTTAGAATAAAGTTCTTTTTTTTTTCTCTGTGTAGTCCTGGCTGTCCTGGAACTCACTCTGTAGACCAGGCTGGCCTCGAACTCAGAAAACCGCCTGCCTCTGCCTCCCAAGTGCTGGGATTAAAGGCATGCGCCACCACTGCCCAGCTTAGAATAAAGTTCTATTCAGTACTGCCTGTTATAAATTTCTTGGAATAGCTAGAAATGGCTTTAATCATTTTTTTTTTGAAAACTCTGACCCTCATTTCATACATTAAAGAAACAATGGCATACATTAAACATACATTAAAGAAACATTTATAGCTGTGCAACCTCCCAGTGAAGTTACGGCCTCCCATGTCCTTGAGTTAACGAAACGGCACATTGGACATGGTTGGGAGGGACATGTCCATCTGAACGAATGAGTATATGTATATTCAATACACACACACACACACACACACACATCATATACTCTCTTTCTGTCACTGTTCGCTAAAGCAGTGTAAGAGGCCCCCGTTAGCAGTCTCGCTGTGTTAGCTGTTGCATGTAATGTAGAGACGGTAAGGGAGGGGTTCCTAGCTTAGGACCGTGACATAAAATAGCAGGGACTGGTTTGGGTATTTGAGAAGTCCTGGACATGTGTCAGTTTACACACTGAGCATACTTTGCTTCTGTACAGGGTGGTTTTCTGTCAGCTCGACACAAGCTCGGGGTACCTGGGAAGAGGGTGTTTCCGTGTCCTCCATTTGGCCTGTGGGGCATCTTGACTAATGGTTGATGCAGAAGGACCCAGCCCAAAGAGGGTGGAGACGCCCCTGGGTAGGAGGTCCTAGGTTGTCCTAAGTAAGCAGGCTGAGCAACAGCCAGTAAGCAGTGTTCCTCCATGACCTCGGCTGCAGTTCCTGCCTCCAGGTCCCTGCCCTGACTTCTCTAACTACACCTCTAAGCTAAAATAAACCGATTCCTCCCCAGAGTTGATTTGGTCCTGACGTTTGTCACAGCAGTGCAGAGCAAACTAGGACTTCATCTTTGTGCAGAAGTATTCCTACATCCTGTGAGTTTAAACAGTGGAACAGTGTTCTTTAAGTGAAGCAGCGAGGCTCAGTGTGGGTTTGCATGGCTCTTGACCTTCATTTCATTTTTGTCTACAGTCCCGGGAAACAGACGTACTTTCAGCTAAAACCCAAAATTTTGGCATTAGTTTACTTTCATGTTAAGAGGATCCGGGTCCGTGTTATAAACAAAATAACCCGTCTCCTCCTAGTCGAAGCAAGCAATGGAGCCAGGGAAGTGCAGGCCTAAAGAAGTAGGACATCTTTCAGAGCCTCAAGTCTGTCCCTAGAGAGACAGCTCTGTGTGACCCTGTGGTAGGCCATAGGGTCCGTCCAAGGCAGCCTGCTTCCTCTGCCCCCTGAGAACTTGCGGCCTTTCTGGTGTGCATGCCAGTAAGCTACGTCTTCCTCAGCAGCTACTGCCTCTTCCTTTCCTCTGTTTTCTTTATGTGGTGTATATGTGCAAGTGTGTAGACATGCATATGAGGTGAGATATAGATCTTTGAAGAGGTCAAGGGTCAACCTTGGGTGTTGTTCACCTTGTATTGAAACAGTTTCTCACTGGACCCTGGGGACTGGCCGATTAGGCTATACTGACGAGCACATGCCTTCACACCTGGCTTTTTACTTGGGTGTGGGCAGACACTCAGGGCCTTCTATTTGCACTGCAGCCACTCCAATGGCTAAACTATCTACCCAGTCACACAGTAGGTTTTCTGAAAGTCTAAAGTTAGGCATAAGAGAAGGGCTTATCCATTGGTCTATCAGGGGTGGGAGAGGGGTTCATGAAGCCCCGCCTACCTTAGGAGCTATTGGCAGTTAATGATTGCTGGGCAGGGGGAGTCATTTCCTTCTGTGATGTAACTGCTAGCAGCAACTAACCTTCCAGCCATGCTTATGCATGCGGCCCTAATTAAACTCTGTGAGTCACAAAAGCAGCCACAAAATAACACCGAAACCCCAAATCAGCCATGAAAATAGGATGGAGACTGTCGGGAAGAAGATTGGTTCAGTGAGAGTGGGAAGGGGTGAGAAAGGGTGATGAGAAGGGGATGAAAGTGACTGACGACCATACGCCTGGGTTATCACACTCTTAGGTGTCTTCAGTAGAGCCGAAATCACGCCCAGGCAAAGCATCCTTATAAACACTCAAGCCGAGTTACTCACGATAGCCCATGGATGAAAACAACTGCAGAACCAGTGGGCAGTCCATTCAGCAAATTGCTACTCAGCTCTAAGAAAGTACGAACCAGCTACACCAGGACTAACCCCCCCATCCCCCACCCCCCCACACCACCATTGTGCCCAGAGCTTTGGTGTCATTGTGCTTTGACGAGACATCTAGAACAATTACATCCATAGAGACACCGAGTTAAGGATCCATGGTTCCCAGGGCTGAAGGAGAGGTCACTGAGGGGATGGGATTTCCTTATCAGAACATGAAAACGATGTTTTGGACTTGGTGATGAGCTTGCAGAGTTTTGTGACTATATTAAAAGCACTGAATCCTACACTGTAAAGGGAGTGGCTTGGATATGTGAATGGCATCTCTCATATCCATGGGTTAAATTATGTTCCATATCCTGCTTAATTTCACAGTATCCAATGCGTGTGTTAGGTACAGAGGTTAAATGACTTTGCCTGAGGCACAGAGGTCCAGAAGTGTCACACTCATTACCAGGCTGGCGACATGCAATCCCCTAGGAACTTAGTAAGTAGTTGTGTTCTGGTTGCCCTCCCAGACATTCTGACTAGTTTGAGGTGAAGCCCAGCTTCCCTGATCCCTGTCTGCTTCGACCTCAACTCCCTATGTTTATAAACAAATTACAAGACTGTAAGGAAGTTTCCTCCATACTTCTTGCCCTCCTGAAAATCAGGTGACAGTGTCAAGTCCTAATTACACATATGTGGGATGAGCTGTATGTGTGTGCAGTGCCTGTGAGTCTGAAGAGGGCGTTGGATGCCCTGGAATTTGGAGTTATGGGCAGTTGTGAGTTGCCTGACACAGATTCTGGGAACCAAACTCCTCAGGGTCCTCTGAAAGCGAAGCACATGCTTTTAACCACCGAGCTGTCTCTCTAGCTGTGGGCTGTGTTTTTATCTGTGTGATGACGTTGGTCTTCATCGGCTGCTCCCAGTCCTGGCTGCACATTGGGAAGTTTTAAACCTGGTGCTGCCTGGGCCAATCCACTAGGAAGAGGGAAGTGGTTGAGGCACGGGTAGCAGCTGCAGTATTAGAGCCACGGGGACTCAGTTATAGCTGTGGAGAGCTGCTGGCACAGAATAATCATCTAGTTTCGACTTGCGTGAGTGTGCTTAATCGGGGAGAGTGAATTGGGCATTTTGAAAGCTTCGTTGGCCTTTGCTTCTGTAGT